AATTCTCGTCCTCGCCGCCGTTCCACCTACGGTCGTCGTCGTAAAATCTCGATTATTGCGAATACCTACGTCAAAGTCCCCGCGATACATAAATACGAACGGTTGCGCGAGATTTCGCACCGAGAAAGTATTATAACCGCGCGTATACCTATATACGAGGGGGAGTATGTAAGGAGGAGGAGAAGAAAGTGCGACCCCCAGGTAAACGTATTTTACAGTCCGCTAAAAATCGAGACGGCCACGAGTGATAGGTGTTTTCTTTTTTTTGGGGGGGGGGACGTCAAGGCTCAAGCTCCCGTAACTTGAAAATCCTAAAAAATCGCCAGAAAATTACGCCTGTATATATATAACTAACCCGAGGCAGTAAATTCGGGGGAAAATGCATTTCTGTTTGAGTATAGGTATTATATTATCTATTATTACAGAGATGGCCAGACGGTCGATCGCGATCGCAGATGATTTAAATGTCGATCTCCATTTTGTTAGAATTTATTTTTATGTAACTAGTAGTTAAATAACATTTGCTGAACATTTTTATCCTAATGTATTATCTTTATTTTCTTGTAAATTTGTCAAGTAATACAATTACAACATTTTAGTTTTATTATTTTGTACATGTATGTGTACTATGAATACCAATTAGGTAATTTATAATTATACTTTTTTTTGTTAGGAAGTCGATCCTCAAAGGAAAAATATATTCTTAGTAGATCACTACCAAAAAAAGTTTTACTACCCCTGTATTATTACTATTATTTCAGTAGTGATTTTACTATACAAAATTCGATTTTAAATGTATATATATATATAACTTCGATGAACAATTCGGTTTGAACAATTTTCCGTTGTTTTTTTCTCTCAGCCTTTTTAGTTCCTTTTTCAATATGATATTTTTTTAGCGATTTGTGTTTCGTTTTGTTGTTTTATTTTATTTTTTAGCACGAAACACGATTATTCAATTGATGAATATTTTCAAATATAATATTATAAATTGTTGCATTTCGGTGTGTATTTTTAATAATAAATATACGGTTGTTTTGACGGAGGAATTTTTGACTGTGTTTTTCAGATCAAAAACAGCCCAAAGAGAACTCGGAGTCCACGGAGAACGACGAGGATGATCAAGCTAAAGAATTGGACCACTCTGGCGTCAGTCAACCAAAGAAAAAGAAACGCAAGAAGACGAAGAAGAACAAACAATCCGCTACGGTCGGTTGTTCCCCTTGGTCTCCTTGCGCGGAGACACAGAATTCAGAAAAGGAATGCACCTCTTTTTCAGCGGCGTGTGACGCCCGAGTTTTTCCCAAGACGACGACCACCGTCCCGTTATCGACGTTGAAAGTGGACGTCAGCACCCCGGGCGATACGCTGCCGTCGTCGCAGCTGACGCCCGGGGTGGATGCGGCCGACGAAGAATGTGACGAGGATGACGACGTTGGCGGGTTTGAGGATAGCGTTCGGCCTCACCTGAATATGTCCGACGTACAAATTTGGTCCATGTTACAAGAATATTCTCTTTCGACTGAAGAACTGTATGGGTACGGGTTTCCGATGGACTCGACCACCGACGAAGGACAGGTGGTGTTTAACCGACCATCGATGAAACACAAAAAGTTAAATCCCGTGGCCAAGGAATTTAACCTGGCCGAAAATTCAAGGGCGTCGTCGCCGACGCCCCCGACAACGACCCAGCAGCAGGACCAGCAGACTTCGGACGGCGACCGGCAGGCCTCCCGTGCCCCGCCTATCTCTCCGGACGAACTCGTGTCGTGCGCTCGGTGTACGGCAATTTACTCAAAAAGTCCCGACTGCTGGAACGCCCAGCTCACGGACGGCGAGTGCCTCTACCACTATGGTAAATTGAAGTTCGACCAGCTATTGATCTCAGCGACGTTTGACTGTTGCGACCGCGGCCCGTCGTCGAAGGGTTGCACCTCGGCCAAAAACCACGTGTGGAGTGGTTACAACGACGGTCTCAATTCCGTCTCCGACGAGGGTTTCGTCCGAACCTATGTCAAAAACGTGAACGAAGCGGGGACGCCGGTACAGCGTATGGTGGTGTACGCGCTCGATTGTGAGATGTGTTACACGTCGGCAGGATTTGAAGTCACCAAGGTGACGTTGGTGGACATCCGGGGATCGGTCGTGTACGACACGCTGGTCAAGCCGGCCCGGGACATAGTGGACTACAACACCCGATTCAGCGGTATTAAGATGGGCGATTTCGAGACCAAGCCGTGGAAACCCCTGGCGGAGGTACAGCGCGACCTGTTGCGGTACATCCGATGGGACACGGTGCTCGCGGGTCACTCGCTGAACACCGACCTGACGGTGCTCAAGATAATTCACCATCGCGTGGTGGACACGGCGGTGTTGTTTCCGCACCCCAAGGGCGAACCGTACAAGCAGTCGCTGAAAACGTTGGCGGCCAAACTGTTGAAGCGGTCCATACAGAAGGTATACGGACACGATAGTAAAGAAGACGCGCGCGCCGCGATGGACCTGGTGTTGCGGTACCTGCTCGGCAAAATGGACTCGGACCGGACGTCCGGGTGGCGGCATCAGTCGCACGACCGCAACGGCAGCAGCATAGGCCACTTCGGCGGTCCGCGCTGCGCCGGCACGCCGACGGTCATGACGCCACACCGCGACGGGCGGTTGTAGCATCACGCCACTGCCGCGGGTCATAAAGCCACGTCGTGCAAACGTGCCCAAACCCCCTTACTGCTTGTTCCTATTTATATATACCGGTACTATCCGTATGCAAATGATAATGCGTACGGCGTGCCCGCGTATGATTATAATATATAATATATACGTTTCTATGTATCTTATATACGTATCATATATGTAAAATATATACGTACCTACGTAAATATATATGTGTATATTTATATATATATATATATATATATATATATGTACTTTTTTTTTCCTATTTTTTTAAAAAAAAAGAGAAAAGAAAAAAAAAATGAAAAAAAAACTTTTTGTACGACTAATAATTATTCACTCATTTTGACATTTTGTGATAAAAACTGATCGAGCGACGGACGATCCGCGGCTAATACGGTGATCCCCCGATCTAATGACTGAATTATTTGTCAATAATTAAACGCCCACCCCCCCCCCCCCCCCCCCCCCCC